CCCCCCCTCTTTCCCTTTACGTTGCCCCCGAGGCGCGCCAGGCCCACCGCCGCCGGCCTGACCTCGATCCCGGAGGATCTCGGTAGTTGCTTCTCCGATCGCCTGGCCTGCGGACGTCCCCCGCACGGAGTACGGCCATCCTACCGCCAGGGCGCTCCCCGCACCACCTCCGCGATGACGAGGGTCCTGGCCGCGTCGGCGCTGGTCGTCGCCGCCGGCCTCGCGGTTCTCGCGGTCCTCGCGCACGCCGCCAAGGACGGCGACGCCTGCTACCACCGCCGGCTCAAGGCGTCCGGGACATGCCGGCCGCTGTCGGCGTGCCCCGCGGCCGCGGGCGCCTCGGAGCAGCCGCGCCAGCAGTGCCCCTTCCGCAAGGGCGACCCGGCCACCGTCTGCTGCCCCGAGGCCGCCGCCGAGCCCGCCGCGGCCGCGCCGCACAAGGAGGGCGACAGGGACTCGGCGCAGCCCTGCCACCGGCTCCTGGAGCGCCCCGAGGACCCCGCGCCGCCCAGTGGAGGCCCCCCGGGGACCGTCGCCAGAGCGAGTGAGTGCTGCCCAGGTGGGGTTGTGAAGCTCGGAGTCTCGGAGTTCGTTCCCTGCGCTGCTTACCGAATGTCACCGACGGGCAAAAATCACGTTCATCAGTATGCCCTAAAACACGCGTCCCATCCGTTTCAAAATCTAACACCGCTGTTTAGTATTTGCTTTATGTTAATGTTTTCTCATTTGCAGTGTGTCAGAAGTACGCCCGCCTGACGTGCGAGCGGAAGCGCGTCGCGTTCCCCTTCGACGAGCTCACCGTGGTGGACTACTGCGAGTCGCACAACAGGACGGACCAGCTCATCGTGGGCGGGCGGGCGGCGCGCGCTAAGGAGTACCCGCACATGGTAAATGGGTGTACCGCGGTAAAAGAAAAAAGTGCCAAGGAGAACCCGCGCGCATGATGGGGAAGGGAAGGGTACTACTCAGGCGCCGTAGCGAACTTTTTAGCGATCATCTCCGAAGATCAACACTGGTGCACTTGTTAATACGATCGGAAAACCTAGAAAGTTCCCGGAAAATTTCGGGGAAAAACGGAAAAATTTTCGTGAAAAAATGTAAAAAATTGAAAATTTTCCACTTTAAAAGTTTCCCGTTATTTTCCGAAAATTTTCGAAAATTTTGCGGAAAATTTTGGGAAAATTTCAACCCTACTAGTCGATTTCAATAACCTCCCACATCTGCAGGCGCTGCTGGGCTACGGCGACAAGAATGACATCCAGTACCTGTGCGGCGGCACGCTCATCTCCCCCAACTTCGTCCTCACGGCCGCGCACTGCCTCAGCAAGTATGAAATCACGTCACTTTCATTATTTTGCACGACATTACAATCTTAACGGAAAGGTTGAACCTTGAAGGTTATAAGGTCCGTGATTCTTTTATTCGAAAAAATTCAAAACTTTTTAACAATATTTTTTTGAAAAAATTGAAAAAATTTCAGAAACATTTGAAAAAATGAAACATTCTCAGAAAAATTTCAAACATTTACCTTTTGCTTTGGACGCAGCTCCAACAGGGAGGAGGTTCGCTGGGTGCTGCTGGGCACGCGGGGCCGCTCGGAGCGCGCCGGCCAGGACCGGCCGCAGCTGCTGGCCGTGGCGCAGCGGCTCCGCCACCCGCAGTACGACCCGCCCGTCAAGTACCACGACGTGGCGCTGCTCCGCCTCGCGCAGGACGCGCGCTTCGACGAGGGCTTCGTGCGGCCGGCGTGCCTGGGCGCGGAGCCGCGCGTCGAGCAGCGGCACCGCACGGCCACGGCCACCGGCTGGGGCAACACGGACTGGGGTGAGTACGGGTCAGCGTGCACTTGAAACAAGGAAACGTTTTCTTAAAACATGGAACCTTTTTCTGTGTGTAAACTGGAGAAAAAATGTCCATATCTTTGAGAGATGCGCATAGTCTACTTTTTCAAAAATTAGAGACGTAAACGTGTTTTTTTTTTTTTTTTTTTTTTTTTTTGGAATCGATTAAGATGCCGCAGTAAGAAATAGCTTTAACTTGACTTTTCCCTGGGACAGTCTAATCAGCCAGCTATGGACAGAATTATCATGCATATAGTCGAGTCGAACCACAGACCACAGACCTATGATGAGGCATACCAAAAACTCTATGGGACACCTATAGTTTTGAGTCCACAGACTAAAAGCTTCCGAACGTATTAAAAAATGCGTAAGCCGAGCACGTACACAGAACTCAGTAAGCTATGAATGAAAATGTTCCTAAGTTTTTAGTGTGCATGACACTTACAAGAAACGGGCGTGAAACCCGTTATTGGTGGTGCAATTTAATGTACAAGTACCATGTGACTCCATAGAAGACGCAGGTGCGAGCGGGTTTGCCCACCCAAGGGGCGATGGCGCCGTACGGACAGATCGGGTAGGCGATTAAACCCGCGCGCGCTCCAGCGTCTTCTATGTGAATCACCCGGTAGAGAATAGGGAATCGTGCATAAAGTACGTCCGTTGTTTCTCTCCGATTTATTCGGTAAGTGACGGGAGCTTGAGCGCCTGTGAGGCTCGTGGTAGACTACCCCGCCGTACACGCGTGCACTGCGAGCGAGATGTTGCCTACCCACCAGGCGCTAGGGGAGCCGGCTGGCTGCAACGGCAGGCTCGTAAAACGGCCTAAGGTTTTGAGTTTTCCAAAATTCCCAGAAAATTCCCGAAAAATTCCCGAAAATTCCCGGAAAAAGACGGTAATTTTCCCAAATCTGGAAAATTTTCCGTTTTTTCCGGAAATTGTTTTGCTTTTTTCAGAAATTTTCCGGAAATTTTCCGGAAACTTTCCAGGGCTCCCAACCCTAAAAAGGCCAATGACGGACGTACTTTCTGGATGATCCCCACGGCCCCCTCGGTAGAAATGTCTCCGACGCCGTCGCAAATGTCTGAAGAGACATTTTAATTGCCTTTCATATTTACCCCGAGTTGAAATGGAACTAACGTGGGAATAAAAGGCTGCGTCGCCGCCGCACACCAAAATAAACTGGTGTCTGGCCCCCTATGATTTATTTGGTGCCTCTCGCTTTGCAGACGGGGAGGCCAGCGCCCTGCTCATGACCGTCACCCTCAACCTCACGTCGCTGGAGGACTGCCGGAGCGCGTACGGCAGCGACAACCGGGGCATTCCCAACGGCATCCTCGACAGCCACCTGTGCGCGGGGTCGCCCGGCAAGGACTCGTGCGAGGTATGAATCCGCGACAAAAAAAAATATTGTTTAACGCTGTGCAAAAGCAACGAGGACCTTAGAGGGGTACAAATAACATGGGGTCCAAAACGATTCAGGAGTCTACAGGGATCCCATGATATTTTTACCCCTAGGGTCTCCATAGACTTCGATGACCATTCTCATCCCTTTAGGACCAAATAGAGGAGGGATCAGGAAGCCGTACACCACCCGTTCTTCTACCATCTTGAAAATCTTTTTTTTTTTGTCGTTTCTGTTAAAGGGCACCCCCCTGATGGTGCATCAACTTAGTTTGGCCCGATCGGACCAAAATTATGGGTTTGGTGTTCATCGCAAAAGCCCAGGGTATTTTAGGGCATTTGTAAACGGATTTTAGCAGAAACTCACTTCGGGGCTCTTTGAACAGGGAAAGGTCCACTATCATGGGATATTCTTTTTCCAGATTTTTCCGACTATTGGCTTAGATTTGGCAGGCATCCTGAGCATGCATTTAGCTCAAGGCTCAGAGCTCAAGGCTCAGGAAGTGCGCAAACCGTTGTCCAACCACCAACAAGCTGTGTATGTTTGTAGGCGGGGGGGATAACTGCAAAGTCTTACCTGCAGGGGGACGGTGATTCCAGAGCGTAGCATATCCAGCCTTGGATAGGCGGGCTTGAAGGTCCTGGAGACGGGTGACGCCCGCCTCGACGAGCACCACTGGTAGTGCAGCGGGCCAAGCGTATGTTGCTGGGCCTCCGATAGTCTATTATTTCGGCAAGAACTTTGTTTGAATCGGTGGGGTCTGTTCCGGTGCCTAAGCGGCGTCCAAGCCGCACCACCTCCCAGGATAGGTGCTCAGGACCTCGCCGATGAAAGCGGCTGCTGCCAGGACGTGGCCGCCGATGAGGAAAACGAAAGCGGGGAACATCTGCCGCAGGGTCAGGGGCTGCGCCGGCCTCAGCGGCCTCAGCCGCCGCTCCCTCGCCAGGCGCTCCACGGCGTCCTGCATCGCGTGGTGGTGAATGTAAAGGCCCGCCTGTTCTGCGCGTCTGTTGACCTTGGTCACCACCGGACCGAGAGGGGACCCACGAGTCCACAAGCTCATCACGATGACGTTCAAATGGTCAATCGGGAAATAGTGCAGCATCTTCGTCGGCACGAGCCAGGTTCTCACGAGTCGCCTAATAGCGGGGCTCAGAAACAATACAATGGCGGATTTTCTATCGCGCACAACGTTTCTGTAGATGTACTTGTCATTGTACTTGTGTATTACATTCATCCGTTTGCGCGTGTCGTCTGGGAGTATGTCGTTGACCCGATGGAAAGCGTCCCACTGGGCGTAGACGGGCAGCCCGCTGGCCTCCAGGTCCTCCAGGCTGTTGATCTCCCCGCGAGTTTGTGCTGTGGACAGCTTGCCCAGCAGCAGCCCCTGGTAGGCGGCCACCAGCACGACGCACACGAGCAGCCACACGCCGAGCAGCGGCCGCAGCGCGCGGCCCGCGGGCGGGGGCGTCCCCGGGGCCTGGGCCAGCAGGGGCGCCAGGGCCAGCAGCAGCGCCGCGCCGCGGTCCCGGCGCAGGGTGCAGGCCAAGGCGGCCGCGGTGAACAGGGCGGCCAGCGCCGTGCCCAGCCACACCGCCGGCGAGAACTCCACCAGGACGGCGTCCAGGGGGTTGACCACAGGGCCGAGGCCAGCGGGGACCAGGACGACAACGTCAATATTCTCCGAGAAGTAATTATAGATCAGTTCTTTATCGCTCATAGCAAGTATCATGTATTGATACAAGAAAGTGTCCATGCGGCATTTATTGCGCTGTGAAAGAATTAGTTTCCACATGCTATAAAATTCAGCGCTCGTTTGGTTTGGAAGCAAGAAATTAACGCGTTTTATTTTTCGTGGCTTCTTGCCGTGCTGGTCTATGAAGTCACCAACATTCAACAGGTACGAATTTTGTTGTCTTGCCACTGAGAGTAAGGTGAAGGGGTCGGCGGGAGAGGGCGGTGGCTGCCACTGATCGCAGAACTGGGTGAACACGGCAGCCCCGCGCAGCCAACGGTGCTCGGCCGGCGACCAGCGATCCACCTCCAGGAAGGCGCGCTTCGCTGTGCATTTGCTCACGTAGCTGATCGCTGTGCCGTCCACGGCGGAGATCACGAGACCACTCTGTTGAACGCAACTTGTGATTCGCGAGATGTGGTGTACAAAAGTTGTGTTCCGGAGCACTTCGGCAGCGGGCCGCCGGCCGGAGGCCCAGAAGAGGACTCGCTGGATCTTGGGCAAGGCCCGGGATAGCATCGCGGTCAGCTCGTCGGGTTCGTTCCCGACGACCATGAGGATGTTGTGGCTGAGTTTCAACCTCACCAGTAAGCTGTCCATGTCCGTCAAGCGCGCGATGCTCGTCAGCACCACCCGGGGCGTCTCCCGAGGCAGGTTGCGCACGAAGTCGTCCGTCCAGCGCACCCGGCTCACCACCACCACGCCGGCCTTGTGGGGCCCCAGGAACGCGGCCAGCAGCGCCACAGCGCTCGCGGCCTCGGGGGCGGGCGACACGTCCACGACGGGCACGGCGGACAGGGCCCTGCTGGGCAGGCCGGCGCAGAGGAGCGCCACGGCGAGGATAGCGGCCATGGCGTGCATTTGGAGCGGACTGCCTGCTTCGAAGGCTTGCCAATTTCTGTGCTGCTCTGGCTGAATCCTAATATTGATCGGACCATAGAAGTTGCGCGTCAGGGCTTTATCACTTAAATGGTATCTTAATCTTAGTGACATTTGTTGTTGGGTCGTCACGTCACTACTGTCTGCACACGGTAGGTCTATTTAGGACTTCGATCGAGGAAAACAAAACGAGATGTTTGTACCTTTTCACTGGTGTCTTAAGCGACTGTTCCGGCTTAAGGGGCCGTTTGAAAGTGGGAAAAGGAGGGGGGCGTGCCGCTACCCCCTTCCTCTTCCTTCCTATAGCATTAGATAAGACGCCTGAAAATAGGCAACGCTGGCAGGTTCGCCAACGCGCTTGGCCCGGACAGCGCCATGCCCCCTTGACCGGCCCGCAGCGCACGTGCGTCTATTCTGATTCACCCCAGTACATAGGCAACCTACGATAGAATCTACACCAAAGTCTATAGACGCCCAAGAAGGGCCGCCTGGCCGCCGCCACACTGGAGACCCCGTAAAGTCCTGTTCTGAAGAGAGGAAAGCGGGGAAAGTAGCGAAGAAAAAGTAGGTCGTAGAAAATGTAAGTCGGACAGTGGTTTTGCGTAGGTCCGGAATGCCTAAGGACTGTTCCGCCAGGATTGGTCCGCAGGACTGTCCGCTAGTGGTCCATCGACATGTCCATTGACGTCGTGCCATGTCCGCCGACATGTCCACGAGTTGTCTTTCGACTCATCTGTAATTTTTACGTGCCGAGCTGTTGCATACCGTCATAGTATGGACACTTGTGGACACTTGCGGACTGAGTTGAGTTCAACCACTCCAACACTTGATGGAGCTTCGAAATTTTGACACATCGATGTTTTCAACAAGTCATTTTTACGTGAATAAGTAACTAGTCCATTTGGATGATCTGTGGGTGGAGAAATGGATATACTTAGGCTGTTCACACTTGTCCTTTATCTTTTCAACACATCAAACCCAGGGCACTGCTTATAAACCGCATAGGGTTGAGAGAGGTCCGGCGAAAAACTCTCTCGCCCAAACCACACTACTGCAGCGACGAAAATTCCGAAAAGAATATGGTCGGTGTTTGGCCCGCTTCAGGTTTCGGCCTCCACTGTAGAGTACAAATAACATGGGGTCCAAAACGATTCAGGAGTCTACAGGGATCCCGTGATATTTTTACCCCTAGGGTCTCCATAGACTTCGATGACCATTCTCATCCTTTTAGGACCAAATAGAGGAGGGATCAGGAAGCCGTACACCACCCGTTCTTCTACCATCCTGAAAAACATTTTTTGTTGTTGTTTCTGTTAAAGGGCAACCCCCTGAAGGTGCATCTACTTAGTTTGGCCCGATCAGGCCAAAATTACGGGTTTGGCGTTTATCGCGCCAAAGCCCAGGGTATTTTAGGGCATTTGTAAACGGATTTTAGCGGAAACTCCCTTCGGGGCTCTTTGGGTAGGGAAAGGTCCATTATCTCGTGATATTTTTCCCCAGATTTTTCCGACTAGTCGCTAAGATTTGTCCCGAGGCTCCGGAAGTTCGCAAACCGTAATCGAACCACTACGAGTTGTGTCGACGCGTCCGGCGAACAAAGGCGAATCTGCGGAGCGCCCGGTAACAAAGGCGAATCTGCGGAGCGCCCGGTAACAAAG